CCCGTCGATAAACAGCGCAGGCACAGACGTATCAGCGAAATACATGGTGAGGATGCCAGACGCTCATAACGAAGGCAATGTCACGCCCATTGTCCCAGGCCACTGTGTGTCATTCCCGATAGTGCGTTGTTTCGCCACTGGCTCTTTTCATTCAGATGATGAGAATGAGGTAGTAAACAAAAGCGGATACCAACAACTCATCCAAGCACGTCCCTTTTCTAAGAAACAAGTCCTTTTCACCTGACCTCTTCTCTGTAGGCTCTTTTCTCAGAAATATTTTGGGCGCTGACGTAGTTAGGGAATGGGGAAGGGGGCTCCGGCAGCGGCTCCATATCTCTTCCCCTGATCTAGGCGTAAGTCATCGGCAGTGTCTTCTCTGCTAGACTATCAGTCATCAACTCTGGTCGTTTGCGCTCTAACCAGAGCTCTTTTGCAAAGGGGATACAGGAACGCGGCTGAGTGTCACCTCCCACACCTAACTTCCTCAGCGCCATAACTTGTATCTTTCATGCGCAATGCAAGTATAAGAAAATTGCGTCATAGGTCGCAGGCACTATAAGTTATTTCAGAGCAGTGATAACGAGACCGAGAGTGCCAGCTGTTGTGTGACTCATCATTAACGATTTCTTGCTGACTCATTGCGATTTTCTCAGTCGACCACTGACGTCTCCCCGTTCCTTAGCGCTGTTTCGTAATTTCCTGAATTGATTCCAGTCGACTATTCCGAACACTTTCTCCCACATTCTTTTGTTTTGCTGGTTTCTTCCGCTGATCCTCAAAGGTTTTAGCTTTACTGAGTGGAAAGTTGGTTTAGTGATCGGTAAATGTTTTGCTTTTAATTCCTTTCGTTCCGATTGGGCTTTGTGAACATTTCTTTCTTGCTGGCAATTGTTACAGCGTTTCGTGATCGATCAATGTCACATGCTATCACAGAGAAGGGGCGCAGTTATGCTGGTACTGAAATGTTCTGAATTTGACCAAAAGTAGTTCTTCTAGTCCCTGGTGATAACGTCCTTCAGTACAACTGCGAATAGCGCCTATGCGCGTTCATTTGAAAGTACCAATGTTTCAAAATACCTCGCTCTGAGAACGTTTCATCATTTCGCGCTGGTTTAATCGTCCCTCTACAACACGCGCTGTGGCGAAGTCGACCTGAAATTGAAGTGCTCAGAAAAACGAGCAACTCAAGCGCTCGAACTCAGGAACTGCTCCTTCCATTCTTTCGCGAGGCGATTTTTTTTTGCATTCTTGTGCGAAGCGCCCATTAGGCTGCGTTCATATTATACTTTGCGTCAGCGTAGGGCAGTGTTTCAAGCGTACGCCGGCGCCTAGGAAAGTTTAGGTATCTATCCAATGTATGTCAGCGTGCGGCAGCGTTTCGAGCGACTGGGAGAGTATGGATATCGATCTAGCGTTTCAAGCGTCACCAGCGTATGCCAGAGTACACTAGCGTTTTCGCAAGCAGTTTGCTCAAGCTGCCCGCGAAAAGCTGGCATACGCCAGATCGATGCCTATACTTCTTTAGTCGTTCGAAACGCTGGCGTACACCAACATACGCCAGGGGGACGCTAGACCCGATGTACATACATTCCTTGTCGTTCGGAACGCTTCTCTAGGCTGGTACGTTAGATAGATACCTTCAGTTCACTAGTCGCTGGCGCTGGCGTGCCTCGAAACGCTGCAAATGCTACCGTACGCTGACGCAAAGTATGAACGTAGCTTTATACCACCCACTGCACCCAGTTGACCTCAGTAAGCCTCACCCCATCTGGTCACGTCCTCTTTCTGCCGCGAATGTAATTTTCACATTGAAATCCGTTCCGTTACCCGTGGTTTTTCACAACGCTATGTCATACATCATTGTTGAATGGACTTTCATACAGTGATGCTCTTGACTCCGCGCCGACGATTCCGCCCGCCTATTGAAGGATTTGTTGGAATATTGCGCTCTGTAATTTTGTTCCTCAACATCTTTTTTTCAATGAACTTCTCATAATTATGTTTCTCTATGTATTAACCATCACCCCATATATATAATTCGCTTTGTCTGTTTGTTTGTTTGTAAGTTTGTAAGTTTGTCTGTCCGGAAATTCGGTTCGACCTGAAGAACGACTTGGAGAGGTCCAGTCAAGGTGGGGATAGGTAGGGCATGGGACAAGAAATAAAAAGCACACTTGACCTATGCGGAAGCACTCGCCGAAAGTTTGGGGTTCCGCAGAAAAATGTTCATAATTCGCTTCCGGAGCAGCTTAAAGATGGGGAAAAAAGGGACTAAGGTTAGTAAGGAGTCGCCAGACTAACTGTGGCAGGTACACCCTAAATGGGCGGGGCGTACTCAAGGTGGGCGGTGCTTCTCGCAATTCAGTAACCCGGTTCGCGAAGCAGTGTTTGAAAAAAGTTCGCAAAAACTCCGGAGTGATAGAATGGTAAATATCCAGGCATAAGGCACGCTCAAAGAGTGCTTTCCCTATAAGACGCTGTATATGTGGTTTAAGACCCGCCTACAGTGGGCGGAGCTTGCCCTAAATCGCAGGGTATTCATTTTAAAAGTTTGTAGCTCGGCACTCCAGATACCGGAAAAAAAGTGGATTAAGGTCAGCAGAGGGTCGTCGGTGAGGATTGTGGGGCAAAAACATTGTGGGCGGAGCCTGCTCCGAGGTGGGCGGAGCCAGACAAAAGGTCTGTAAAACGGTTCACTCCGAAGACCGGAAAAAGTGGATTAAGGTCAGCAGAGGGTCGCCGGTGAGGATTGTGGGGCACAAACATTGTGGGCGGGGCCTGCTCCGAGGTGGGCGGAGTCAGACGAAGAATCTGTAAAATAGCTCAAGAGTACTTCAGACACCGGAAAAAAGTGGAGTACAGAACAAAAGGCGGATATCAGTTGAGTCTAGAAATATGTGAAAGAAAATACGCGCGGCGAAGCCGCGCTCGCCCGGCGCAGCCGGGCCGTATCAGAAGGAGGCGCGCCGGCGTTAGCCGGCGAGCCGACTGATGTACTTATAGAGTGCAACTTTCAGACTCGAAACTCGGAAACTTTAGAATTCAAGAAATCGGGCATAGATCTCGCCACGGAGCCCTGTTACTCGATAAGTAGCTTGCCTTACGGCGCGAGCTAAGTTTCCAGAAAAAATACCGGCGACTCACCCTCA